TATGTATCAAATATGATACATTTGGCATTATAGGGTTAAATAAGACTACATGGATGCAGGGCTCAAATGTAAAAACAAAGATTAGAGCATTATCAGAACATCTCCAAACTATTAGCGTGGATCTTTATGTGCTGCGAATTTTTGAAGAAGCACAAAAAGTTTTAAAAAACGCCTGGAAAACCTCTGAACAAGAACAAGAACTGGTATAAGAGCATAAGAGAAAATTGAATTAACGCCATAAACAGCGTCCGATTTCCCTCCATGTCTTCCTGTTTCTCTCATCGGCTTCACAGCTGATTTATTTAACGGTTTAACTGCTGTGCGTGGAGACGCTGACATGCAGAGTTTACAACATTCTTCATTTTGCGGCGAATAACTTTTTAGATGGTGGAAAACACGTCTTCCAAATTAGAGCCTTTAGTGAAACGTCCAAACCGCTGCCGTATATCGCTCAGCTGTCGCCATATTTCCTTTCCTGGTTGCTGTAGTGTGCGAGCGTGCCTCCGCGATTAGAGGAGGGGTTTATGATGCATTCAAAGTGTGTGGGAAGTCACAACTTTGTACTCTATGGTTGCGATAGTCATTTTACCTACGGCTCGTGGAAAAACTCAAGAAAATTTAAATACAATTTAAAAAATCTACACCAAACAAGTCTTTAACCACTGACAAAAAAATTCTGGATTTTCAAGGAATGAATCTTATTATCGCCATTTTCACAGGGTTCCTACAGCATTAGGCAAGTTAAAACAGATGAAAACAAACCAGTCATGTAACCACTAAACTCATTTCCTTGTGATGCTTGTATTGCATGTTATGTTCTTTCTTATGTATTTGAATGCCTAGGGTCTACGGATGAAAACTAGCTTTGTAGCTGTAATCCGGCATATTTACATTTGTTTTTATACTAATGTTCATTAATGTGCATTGTCCCTACTCAAATAAATAAATTCAAGACTTTTTAAGACTTTTTAATGCCACTTGAAATAAAAAATTTAAGACCAAAACCACAAGAAACACAAGAAACACCTGCTTGCAGCAACTTAACCCAAAGGTTTATTTTAACATAAACCACTGCACTAATGTTTCAAAT